ATACTCCTGGTTTTAAACAATACTCATATTTCAATTACTTGCTCAGTCTTGATCGGTCGTATTCGTTTACGACCCTATTCGTCGTAGCGAGGGTTCGTAAACGTATATTAACATTTACTGCATTCATAAGTTAAACTTTGATAGAAGTAAAGCATTACATCACATTAAATTTCATTAAAATAATGAATATGGTAATTCATTTGTATTCGAGCGTTCAAACAATAAAAAGTTTCACGAAACAACAGTGATACATACTTTGTGTATTCTCAAACCTGTTCACATTCACAAATGAGACCCTCTGAAACGCTATTTCCTGCATTTTGAGTAGCAAATTTTGCTGAAATACAAGGGTTTCAGCTTGATTTAGGGAGCAACACTTCCAACATTTGTTTGCGGTCGCCACCCTGTGCCGCCACCACTGCTATGGTAAACATCGACCATTGAAATCGGAACTTGTCGAATATTGTGTGTAATCCTTAGCAGTTGGCATCAAAACTGTATGTACAACTCTGTTGCTGATGTGACAGATGTATGTAGGAATCATAAAGTCAAGCTACGACCTTTATAATCCCGCCACCGTCTACAACATTTATCTTAAATAAGGACGAAAAATCTAAGAACCGCAACTAATTGCCTAGCAGAGAATTGCATGCCATTTCATCGTTCCAATTCAACTAGCCACTGCCACGGAGCTGAAATTTCTTGATTCAATTTGGTGATGTACTTCAGTCTCAATTTACTTTTCGAGTAAAAAGCGTGCTAGTCCTTTCTTGTTTATATCTTTTGCAGCCAATGTGTTTCCCCTGGCAGTACTCGGGCGACAATTTGTTATCTTGACAATGAATGATTTCTCGCATTATATTTTCAAATGTTCCCAAATGTTGTGAAACCAAAGCTGGGAATGCATTTACCTCGTAATGATTTGGGAAATCTCTATTCTCACGGTGGAACTTAAGGTCAGTTATTAAATTCAGTATAATTTACCCACAATCAATAAATGGGTTTTATGTCTTCCACGTTACTGCATTTTGACTAACCAGCGTAACAATATTGGGCATAAGGTGTAATAACAAGGGTCGGCAAATGTCAGCATTCATCTTCATGGAAACGAGCAAGTGTTTTTCCTATTTACTACAAATAAACCACAGACAGACCAAGCTAGTTATTCCGTAATCAATATGGCTCCCGTGCTAGGCACACTCTTGTAAAAGTACACTTGTTGAGCTCTTAGAACATTGACAAGGAAAATATCGTTGGGTCTGTTCTTCTAAGTCTCGGCAAGGAATTATATCTTATTTTCGCATTCACTTGTATTGTCTAAACCTGTATGATATGGTCGTGGAAACCAGTTGCTTGTCTATGTATGCGTAAATAATTTGTTTAATTAGATGGCAATGAATCGGAATTGACTGATATTTGAATTATTGTGCCACATGGTTCAATTTTAGGCCACTGCGCTTTATTATCCCCGCATATCTATAATATGTGGGCGAATTTCTGAAGGTCAGTTATGTTTTTTTAACAGTCTGTATTTCAGTTGTCTACCTATCTAACTAGGCTTTAAGCAACACTGCCCAATCATCAAGTTTAATGAACTAATTTCCTGGTGTTATTCTCTCAGAACATTGAAACCAAATTCACTCATTTTCACTTAAGATTGGTTACGATTAAGACTGAGACAGATCAACAGAGAGACTGACCATATGTTTTCGACTTTGAATTAGCTAGATGTTTGAATTATATCAACGTTAAACAAACACGCTGTGTAAACCTCTATACTTTATGACCTGGCGGCGACATACGTCTCATAGTCGACTTAAGAATTACTGTTCTCTTTGTGGATAGCAACCGACACACGTATCAAAACTAAGACCATGCCTCGTAAATACGGTATGAGTTTAAAAGCACTGCAATGAAAGATCGTTACGGTTAATAAACCAACATGGATGAACATTCTGTGGCTAGACTTGCCAAAAACTATCTTTATCTTTATGTGTGTGTTGGTCACGTAAGAAAAAATGTCTCCGCCAAATAATACCGCATGTAATAAAATAATATCGATATGATATATAGCCATATCATAAGGAAGCATATTGAATACACACCTGTGTATATTATGGATATCAACACCTGGTACGAAATAAATAAGGTAGCATTTAGTTTGCACATTCCGTGCTTTAGTTAAATAA